GAAAGATTGTCAACTAAAGGAGGAGAGTTAATAAGACAAAATGCCTTTGATTCCACCTTATCTAACAGTTGGACAGAAGAAGATCCACCCCAGATATGAGAGCAGTACTCCAAGTTAGGACGAATGAATCCCTTATATACTTGAAGTAACTGCTCTAGCTACGGCATCTGTACAGCATTCCCAACTTTAGGGAGGCAGCTTTAGCAATGTTGAGGATGTGTGGCTTCCTTGACATATTAAAGGAAATGGTGAGGCTTAGCATATCTATTTTAGAATTTGGCAGAATGATAGCGTCCTGAAATGTAATTGGTGGGAGATCATCTAATTTAGAAAGTGTAATTGGTAAATACTGAGTTTTATTACTATTGAATTTAACCAAGTTTCTAGCTCCCCATACGGAGATGCTGCACAGATCCGCATTGATAGATGTAATGATATCAGATCTAGAAACAGATCTAGTTTGTGAGTTAGGAGGAAGGGGAAATGTGAAGAAGAGTGAAGAGTAGAATCATCAGCGTAAGAATGGATAGAATTAGTTGTAGTGTGAAGTAAATCAGTGATAAAAGAAGGAAGAGAGTAGGTGAAAGAACAGAACCCTGTGGGACAACACTATTGGTAGAGAAAGAGCGAGAGATCGATTCCTCGACAACAACTGCCATGGATCGGTTCTCATGGAAGCTAGAGATTAGAAAACAAAGTGGGGGAGAGAAACCATAAGAGAGAAGTTTAGAAAGCAAAGACTTGTGCCATACCCTGTCAAATGCTTTGGAGATGTCGAGGGCCACGACTAAGTTTCCCCATAATCCCTAAGAGAGGATGACCAAAGATGGGTGCAGTAGGAAAGCAAATCACCAGTAGATCTCGCCTGGCGAAAGCCATATTTGTGATCCGACAAAAGAGAATGGCGTTCAAGGTGACGGAGAAAATGGGAATTCAAGATAATTTCGAAAATCTTAGAGATGGATGTAGTTAGGGCAATGGGGCGATAGTTTGAGGGATTAGAATGGTCACCCCCTCTTCGGGATGGGCTGAACCAAGGCATGCTTCCAAGAAGAAGGAAAAGTTGGGTTTTGAGGCAGAGGCAAGCAAGCACAGGGGCCAGAGCTACAGCACACTCCCTCAGAACACGAGGGGGTATGCCGTCCGGTCCATGAGCCTTACTCACAGCCAACCTGGATAACACACCGGCAACCCTGCGAGTGGAGATTATAGGAAAGTGCATAGGTTCAGTTGGAGGAGCAGGGGTAGGAGGGATAGAGTGGGAATCGTCCAAGGTCGGAAGAGAGGGGGAAAAGGAGTGCAGAAGGTATTATAGATATTTTTGGTTAAGGACCAGTAGGATTTACTAGAGGAAGAATTAGTCAGGACAGCGGTCTTTCTTTTTATAAAATTCCGCTTGGTCCTACGAAGAATAACCTTACAACGATTCCTAGAAGTAATGAAAGAGGAGTGGGTAATAGGAGGAGATAGTTTCATAGCTTGTATAGTGTGGAACGATATATGTATGTTGTGTTGTCAAATTAAGAGAAACAATTGAGACCCTACAATTGTGTGTAAATGAGGCAGAAAGTCAAATCAGCAACCTGGGACTTGGTCAAAAGTTTTGTGATGCCATATGGCAGCAGGGTCTACCATTAGACAACACATCTACAATCACAACACACAGAAATGTGATGCTAAGCTTTTTATCTTTTGTGAAATAAGAAAACAAATTATAATTCCATGTTCCATTTTTCATTATTTCAGCACTTTTACGATGGTGAAACCTGACACTGTACACAGACTGGGTGACGTGGTGGAGATGATAGAGGCTGGCGGTTTGAAGATCAATCGCATGAAGATGGCGTGGTTGTCGAGGAAACAGGCGGCCCAGCTATACACAGGTTCTACTGGCAAGCCTCACTACCAGTACGTTTATGTTTATATATGTCTGTCTGTGTGTTCATCTGCTTATACAGTATTGAAAAAAAGGATGTGGGTCCCTTAGCCCTGACGGCCTGTTCGGGGCTCTGTGGATACATCATATTAAGCTTTCAGTACAGAGAGGCAGTGTGGTAAGTCACCACACCCTGTCTTACGTAGTATTAATCTATCTCAGAGTAAGCTGGCGCTACGTACTGTACAGTATACTGTATTGTTTATGATATACTGATCTGTCCAGAGTTTATCTAGTCGTCTGTCGAAAGTTAGCTTATCTCGAGACCAGAACACCTATCTGCTCTGGTAAACTGTTCCACATTTCCACGATGCACAGCAAGAAGTTGTTATATGACAACTCAGTCCGTGGATGGGTCTTTAACAGCTCGTAACTGATTATTGGTGTTGCTATTTCACTAAAGTGTATTTTTTCAGGCTTGTCAGTCTGTCTTTTACTTTTACTTTTATACTTTTATCCTCTTCGCCACTGTTCGGCAACTTAGCTGCATAGGCGGTCGGTCACGTCTCTGTTACGCACTGTTGGCAAGTACTGGGCATGGACTGGCTCCTGAATGTATCTGAACCTGTTCCAGTACTGGTCAAGTCTGGTATTGAAACAGCTCCCCTGAATAATTCTAGAACGGGTTTTGTAGAATGGCACCAAACTTGGTAGGTTTGATCAACATGTGACAAGGTCCATAGGATAAACTTTTGGACTATGTATGGTAACAGTTCGCACAATTATAACTCATAGCAGTATATTGTATATGTATAAAACGTGCGTATTTCTCTAACTACTGTGTCTTGGGTTAGAGTCTTGACCCGTAGGTAACACACTAATACCCTACCAAACATCATAGGTTTCTCCTGTCCCTCCTCCAGCGTTAACTAGACAATAAAGTCTTGTTAACAAAGAGCAAACCAACTGCCCAAAAGGTTAGTATGCTGGTAAGTGGTGAAATGATAAATTAAAATTAATGTACAACCCTCTTGAATATTTCTATATAAATGCTAAAGGGTCAGTTTAGGATTTCAAATTTGGAATAGCACTGAGTTTAAGGCTTTACATACACATGATTAAAAAAACATTATCTTATTACCTCTGAACCCCTGAAATATCCCTTTAATTACTAAATTAATAAACTCGTAAATTAACTAATGTACCATATACAGAATCTATTCAGTAGTTCATTAATTCACGCTGCCTCAAAGTTACCTGAAACGTAAAGGGCAGACAAAGCAATTTATATATCATTGATTTCATTATCGGATAACATAAACTAAGCGTTATAAATTTAATCAAGCCATTTTTTCAAAATATTGTTTAATCTCACTGTTGTATAGTTATTAATAATTTAAAATGTTTCAGTAGAATCCTTTTTAGGCTATGACAGTTTTATTATCCAGATATGTTCTGGACTACGTCACAAGTGGCCCTGTTGTGGGAATGGAGCTGAGAGGACAAGACGCCGTGGCTCGGTGGCGCAAGATGCTAGGATCCGTGAAAGATGAGACTGCAAGTGAAGATTCCCCGAAGACCATCAGAGAAAAGTTCGGGACCAATCGACTATGTAACGCAGTTCACGGGTCAAGCACTGGAGACTCCGCCACCAGAGTCAGTGACTAAACGTTTAGTGATCTATGCTCTCAGATTCTTCATAGTATTACATTTTCTTTTCTATGGTGTTATCCTGACATAAATTGTAATGAAAAGCAGTGTGCATTAGCTATAAACCAATTGCATACTCTATATAACTCACAAGCACGTGACAGATACGGCTAAAAGTGTCCAGGCAATTTTGGAGCAACTTTACAACATAATTTCATATTGACACTTCTTAAATATTCTTATATTACTTACATAATCATCTGTCCGTATAGTCACAGTTAATTTAGATATGTGGTCGATTTTTTTATTTTTTGCATTATTTTTTACAGAAACTTGTTCTTATCACTTACAGTCATCCGTGTCTTTTAGTCCCACTTCGACAACTCACCCTTTACATTAATGGCAATAAATACAAAGTTTTCAGCATTTTTGAGTAAGTGTCGCAATTCTCATGCAGACTGCGATATCATGCCCATTGAACCAATCAATCCATGCCTAACTTGTCTATCCTTACTTGTCTCAACAGAAATATATTCTGAGATCGTTAAGGTAGGTTAGGTTAAATGAAAATACATTCGTTTTTTTTAGGATGGGTTATGTTAGGCTAGGTAGCTTAAGTTAGGTTAAGTAGATTACGTTACACAAGGTAGGTTAGGTTAGCTTAGGTTTGGTTAGATATTTAGGATAGTTAAGGTGTTCCTTGGATAGGCTAGTTTAATTAGACTACAGTACGTATGGGTAGGACAAGTTGCAGAAGTCAGGTTACGTTAGTTTTAAACTGGCAAAGCGATCCTAAGTTAAATAAGTTAGGTTAGATTAAGTAAGGTGTCATTGTTATTACTTAGTGGCAACAAAACTAAACTAAAACGTAAATAATGAGATAAATAACGGAAGTAATCAATACGACAGAATCTCGATGATAACGAGTTTACTTTAATTATGAGAAGCAACAAATGAAAAGGAAGTCCACGATCATTAAAGTAAACAAATATTATCCAATCTCTGCTACATTTTCTTTCAACTAAACTATTTATTATTTTATTCATATTCTAGGAGATGAATCTGTTTTTCTCGTCTTCTAATGTGAGTGATAACACGATTCAAGCTTCCAGTGGGATGAATTTTGTCCTTATACCTTACAATGATACATCAGGTGAGTTGTGTTGTATGTCTCGCAATGATACATCAGGTGAGTTGTGTTGTGTTGTATGTCTCACAATGATACATCAGGTGAGTTGTGTTGTATTGTATGCCTCAAAATTATACATCAGGTGAGTTGTGTTGTGTTGTATGTCTCACAATGATACATCAGGTGAGTTGTGTTGTATGTCTCGCAATGATACATCAGGTGAGTTGTGTTGTATGTCTCGCAATGATACATCAGGTGAGTTGTGTTGTGTTGTATGTCTCACAATGATACATCAGGTGAGTTGTGTTGTATTGTATGTCTCACAATGTTACATCAGGTGAGTTGTGTTGTATTGTATGTCTCACAATGTTACATCAGGTGATACTGAGTTCACTATTTGCAATGTGTCGTGCACTGTCTTCAAAGTCCACACTTTCTATCTTGTGGGCTTTATCTAATTTTCCAATGGTTCCAGCTATTTCTTTTACTGGGGACACACTTCCCCCGGGTCTGTAACACATAAAATTAGCAGTACGGACGTCAGAAGAAAAACCTGTAGCAATTATATATACCTCAATAATATATTAGTAAAATGATTGCCACCCCATACAAATACGCAAAGTAAAACGACGAGGCCCTACTCTACCGCAGTTCTAAATAATTTAACCACTGTCACACTATCAAATTCGCTGAAGATTAAATACACTTTCTATATACTGCAATTATTAAACCTGAGTAGTGTATGCACTGATTTAATGGAAGAATACCCTGGTATAAGCAAATAACAAAAGGATGTCAGATGATTTGGAATGCAGCCTTAAACCTCTATGTTATACGCAAGGATATTTAAACTACCCGAAATGTTATGGTCAAAACTAATAATTCAACTGTACAGCTCCAGATAATTGCTTTGCTGGTCCTCTTCTACTATGATTCACGCGCTGAATAAATAAACTACTGCAAATACAGAATTGCTTGTTTGAAGACCATGGACCATCTAATTTATTTATTTATTTTATTTTATTTATTTTTTATTTTTTATATTTTTACGGATTTAGCTCACCAGGGCACAGGTCAATGACCCACATCTGGGCCTGGGGGAGAAAATATAATAATAATAATAATAATAATAATAATAATAATAATAATAATAATAATAATAATAATAATAATAATAATAATAATAATAATAATAATAATGAATTATAACAAATATTAAATAAAAATATAGTATAATGTAATAATAATAATAATAATAATAATAATAATAATAATAATAATAATAATAATAATAATAATAATACAGGTTGACAACCCTTTATCTGAAATTCCGAAAACCGAAAAGCTCTGAAAACCGAAACAAAATTGTGGAGCATTTTTTTTTTTTTTTTTTAAACAGGGATTAGCCCACCCAGGCATAGATCACTGACCCATATCGGGCCTGTGGGGCGAAAATGTAATCGTAATACTAATTACAGTATAATAATAATAATTTTTCATAGTAAATAAAAATTGTAAATAAAAAATACACCTAAATAAAATAATAATGATAACTAATAATAATAAAATATAATAATAAAATTTATAATAAAAATAATAGCAATAATACTGTATTACTAAAATAATAATAATAATAATAATAATAATAATAATAATAATAATAATAATAATAATAATAATAATAAAGAAATACAAGAGTGAAAAAAGATAAAAAGTGAGAAACCCGACCTAGGCCTATGAATTATTATTATTATTATTATTATTGTTATTATAATTATTATTATATTTTCGCCCCCCAGGCCCCAATGTGGGTCAGTGACTTGTGCCCGGGTGGGTTAATACAAAAACAAATAAAAATCATTCTGAAAACCGAAAAATTCCGAAATCCAAAATGCCTCTGGCCCCAAGGATTTCGGATAAGGGATTGTCAACCTGTAATAATAATAATAATAATAATAAAAGACCATAAAAAAGATCAATAATGGGAAACGATATGGTATTCATTAACGGTATATATATATATATATATATATATATATATATATATATATATATATATATATATATATATATATATATATATATATATATATATATATATATATATATACTGATAACCCTAAGGAATCAAGAAAACACGAAGTTCCCAAGCGTTTTCGTGTAATTCACTTCTTCAGGGGCGAGTACAGATGTGAATTACACAAAAGCGCTTGGGAACTACGTATTTTATTGTTTCCTTGTGGTTATCAGCATACACTTGGATCACGCGCACCTACAGTGTCCTGCAGATGTCTGTTCGCCCTTTTTATGATTTCAAAGAAATCATCCTAAGGAAACACTTTGGAATAAAGAAAATTGAAATGAATGAATCTTTCCGTAATGTAAGACATAAAAAGTATACTTTTAATATGACCATACTGAGTGATTGGAAAAAGTTCATGTTGGATTACTGTTTTGATAACCTGAGACGTGAGCGTTCTGATCTTCAAGCCAAGATAGACCACAAATTGGCACTCCTTATTAGAAATAGTGATTGGACTAAGGATGCCAATCACAACTGTGTAGTGAATCTCTCCTCTAAACAACTAGACAATGATACCTTGTGTGCCCTCGGCTATGGTTTAAGTTTTGATGGTTCTAACAAGGGAGTCAACAGTGTTGACATAGCCAGAGCATTTTGCGATTTGGAGAAATTCAGTAATTTGACAAATGAAGAAGTGAACATGTGTAAAGGTATTGTGTATGCATCTATGTGTAAGCCTTGTATTCCAAACTGTCCAGAAAGATTCACCAAAGCAATCCAAGCCCTTAAGAAAAATAAGGATCTGCATGTCACTAAAGCAGATAAAGCCAACACAGTAGTGATTTTAAACAAAGATGACTATGTTTCTAAAATGAATGACCTTTTATGTGATGTTGCAACATATTCTAAGGTCATAAATAATCCTCTCAACACTGTCAACACCCAGTTCAACAAAAAACTGAAGTCTCTATTGAGAGGCAAAGCTACTCTCATTAAACATCTTACTTCACCGTCCCCTCCACTGCCATACATGTACGGTGTAATCAAGACTCACAAGCCCAATAACCCAGCAAGACCCATTATTAGCTCAGTTGGGTCAATCTCTTATAAACTATCTAAATGGTTAGTTTCTTTACTAAATCCCCTAGTTGGCAACATTTCTAACTCCAATATCAAGAATAATATGGATCTGGTTGATAAACTCAATAACTTACACATTAATCATGATTTTAAACTGGTCAGCTTTGATGTAACGTCACTCTTTACAAAGGTCCCAGTTGATGATTTACTAGAGTTCCTCATAGATTCCCTGGATAACATTTCACTGCCCGTCTCGAAAGACGACTTCATCGAACTCATCAAACTATGTATTAAGGATTGCAAATTCGAATTCAATGGGGAATATTATGCTCAAAAATTTGGTATGGCAATGGGTAATCCACTCTCACCTGTATTAAGCAACCTATATATGGAATTCTTTGAAAAGAAACTATTAAGTAATATTTTACCACCCTCAGCAGTCTGGTTTAGATATGTTGATGATGTATTATGTCTCTGGCCATGTAATGAGGACCTAAAAGCTTTCCTGCCACAACTTAACAACTTAGCCCCCTCGATCAAATTCACTGTGGAATTAGAGCAAGACTGTAAATTGCCATTCCTAGACTGTCTGATACACAGAATAGGTAACACTTTTAAGTTCAGTATTTATAGAAAACCAACTAATGTGTGTTCATACATTCATTATTATTCTGCCCACCATAATAAAGTCAAACAGTCAGTATTTTCAACAATGTTTTTACGTGCCTTGAGAATTTGCAGTCCGGAATTCATTGATGAAGAATACAAATATATATATAATATTGGCTCAAACCTTAAATACCCTAGATCTTTCATAGACAAATGCCTAAACATTACTAAGAAAACTTTTTATAGAACTGATCCCAAGCCCACCCATGACCATAAGAATATCTTAATATTACCATTTCACAAAAATTTCTCACACATTCCTGCACAACTAAAAACCTGGAACGTCAATGTGGCATTTAAAAACTCATGCACTGTTAAACAAATGTTAATCAAGAACTCCCAACAACTTTAGATGGTTGCATTTATAAGTTACTTTTCAAAGAATGTGTATATGTTTTATGAGGCCCAGACAGGTAAAGTCCTTTTAACTAGAATTAAGCTGCCTAAATACTAATTATTGGGGATGAGCCAGGAATCCAATGCTCTGTTTGTTCATTTGAGGGATAACAAACATTGCATTGACTGGGATAATGCCTCCTCAATATTACCTTGTAATTCAATTGACAGTAGGAACATCATAGAATCTAGTCTCATTAAACATACCGAAGCATTCAACATGAATTTGAGTAATGGCATGTACAAACTGGACAATTTTGTAATTAAGAAGATTTGTAACCAGGTGAGAAGGTTGGGTCACCTTACAACTCTGACCTGACTACCGACCGTTGCCATGCTATTTAGAGATTAGTAGGGTCATTACCTTATACCTGACCATTGTGGACCTGGTCTCACCCTCCTCTGTATGTATATACACCTTGTTTTGTACTTCTCTTTAGTCTGTACCCACCCCTGAAGATGTGAATTACACGAAAGCGCTTGGGAACTTCGTGTTTTCTTTTCTTTCCTTGATTGTAGAATGCGCCACTGGATGCACTTGCACCTACAGTGATTTACTTGTATATATATATATATATATATATATATATATATATATATATATATATATATATATATATATATATATATATATATATATATATACAGTGGCGTACTAAGGAGGGGGCGGGGGGGCGGTCCGCCCCGGGTGACAGCCAGAGGGGGGTGCCATGAGGCAGGACTTAAGCGCAAAAGAACTGTTGATCATGGTAATCAAGCTGCAATGGACAGAGAGAGGAAGAAATGGAGGGGCATACTTCATCGTCTTTTGCATGTAACATGTTTCTAGCTCGACAGAACCTTTCTTTTCGTGGTCATAGAGAGGATATGTTATCAATAAACAAAGGCAATTTCCTAGAACTGGTGGAGTTACTATCAAACTATGATCCTGTTTTGAAAGAACATCTTTTGGAGGTTAAGCATGCTATTCCATCTCAGACATCTGGAAGGAGAGTGAGCTCTTATTTGTCACCAAATATTCAGAATGAATTCATCTGTCTTCTATGAAATAATGTTAAGGAAAAAAATTTGGCTGACATCAAGTAGGCCAAGTATTTTGGAATTCTTTTTGACAGTACACCTGATATTTCTCATACAGATCAGATGTCCGAAGTGATTAGATATGTTCATATTGAAGGTGATTCGGTTGAAGTAAGGGAATCTTTCTTGGGTTTCTTTCCTATTGCTGGAAAAACTGCAAATGAGCTCACAAAGGATATGCTGAGTAATTTGGAGAGTGGTGGACTGGACAATAACTTTTGCCGCAGTCAAGGATATGATAATGCTGCAACTATGGCTGGTATTCATGGAGGTGTTCAGAAGAAAATCAAAGAAATAAATCTAAAGGTTTTGTTTGTGCCTTGTGCCAATCATTCCCTGAACTTTTGTGGGGTACACTCTTTTGTAACCAATCCTTTATGTGTAACATTCTTTGGAACTGTAGAGAAACTTTATTGCTCTTTTTCACTTTCAACTCACCGATGGGAAGTACCGAAAGAAAATATGAACCTGACAGTCAAAAGACTTTCTCAGACTAGATGGAGTGCACATCATGATGCAGTAAAGCCTCTCAAGAAACAATTTGAGAAGCTGATCATAGCCCTGGAAACATTGACGGATCATAGAGAAAATGTTGACACAAGAGGATCAGCTGAAGTTTTGCTTAAAGATGTATGTGTTTTTTATTTTTTGGGTTATCTTTCTTTTTGGTGTGATGTACTGGAAGAAGTGAATCTCACGCAGAAGTATTTGCAAACAGAAGGAATAAGTCTTGAAAAGTGCACTGTAAAGCTCATT